TCCCTTGTTGTTTGAACTGCCAACAAAGAAAGAAAAGAGTCCGAATGGGCCAAGGAACATCAAAATTGGACAACAGAAGACTGGAAAAAAATGATCTGGAGTGATGAAACACAAATTATTTTCGGAAGTGTTGGATACGTGCGAAGAAGGTCAGGCGCAGAATGCCTTCCTGAGTCCATGACAGCAACGATGGAACCCCCTCAAAGCGTCATGATATGGAGCTGCGTGCCTCGGTATGGTGTTGGACGAATGCAGGTTATTGATGGCATTATGAATGCAGAGCGATACATCAAAGAGGTCCAGGAACCAAAGCTGATCCCATTAATAAGCGACTTATCGGACAAAGGCACAGAATTTACTTTTCAACAGGATGGAGCTCTATGCCATACAGCTCATAAATGGTTCAATGACAAGAAAATTCCTGGAAATAGCCCTGACTTGAATCCCATCAAAAATCTGTGGTCAAGATTGAAACGCATGGTCTCGAGCAAGAATCCAAGCAACAGGCGAGCCTCAAGGAGTCCTCACTTGTTGTTTGGATTATTGCTCAAGACTAGAGATGAGCGAATCGAACCTGGCGAAGTGGAATTCGTTTCGAATATCAGGAAAAATTCGATTCGCATCGAATCCGAATTTTAGCAAACTTCGGGTGCACGAATCGAATTTTTCCCGATCAGCCGGCAAAAGTGTCACTGCAGAGAGCTCCGCTATTTCTGACAGTTCTGACAGTTCATTTACAGCGGTTGAAACATTGTATCTATTTGTTTCCATTTAGGATACAGATGTTTTTATTCGGAAACAAATAGATACAATGTTTCAACCGCTGTAAATGTGAAGGAACTGTCAGAGAACTGTCAGAAATAGCGGAGCTCTCTGCAGGGACACTTTTTGCTGTACTTTAATTCTTCTTCTTTTCATTCTTCTTCTTCTTCTTTTCATTCTTCTTCTTTTCATTCTTCTTTTCATTCTTCTTCTTCTTTTCATTCTTCTTCTTCTTCTTCTTTTCATTCTTCTTTTCATTCTTCTTCTTCTTCTTTTCATTCTTCTTCTTTTCATTCTTCTTCTTCTTCTTTTCATTCTTCTTCTTCTTCTTTTCATTCTTCTTTTCATTCTCAGGCAGAAAAAGGGCGGTAAAAATGCAGGCTTCTTCTTCTTTTCATTCTTCTTCTTCTTCTTTTCATTCTTCTTTTCATTCTTCTTCTTCTTTTCATTCTTCTTCTTCTTCTTTTCATTCTTCTTCTTCTTCTTCTTTTCATTCTTCTTTTTATTCTTCTTCTTCTTCTTCTTTTCATTCTTCTTCTTCTTCTTTTCATTCTTCTTTTCATTCTTTTTCTTCTTCTTTTCATTCTTCTTCTTCTTCTTTTCATTCTTCTCATTCTTCTTTTCATTCTTCTTCTCATTCTTCTTTTCATTCTTCTTCTCATTCTTCTTTTCATTCTTCTTCTTCTTCTTTTCATTCTTCTTTTCATTCTTCTCATTCTTCTTTTCATTCTTCTTCTCATTCTTCTTTTCATTCTTCTTCTCATTCTTCTTTTCATTCTTCTTCTTCTTCTTCTTTTCATTCTTCTTTTCATTCTTCTTCTTCTTCTTTTCATTCTTCTTCTTCTTTTCATTCTTCTTCTTTTCATTCTTCTTTTCATTCTTCTTCTTCTTCTTCTTTTCATTCTTCTTCTTCTTCTTTTCATTCTTCTTCTTTTCATTCTTCTTCTTTTCATTCTTCTTCTTCTTCTTTTCATTCTTCTTTTCATTCTTCTCATTCTTCTTTTCATTCTTCTCATTCTTCTTTTCATTCTTCTTTTCATTCTTCTTCTTCTTCTTTTCATTCTTTCTTTTCTTCTTTTCATTCTTCTTTTCATTCTTCTCATTCTTCTTTTCATTCTTCTTTTCATTCTTCTTCTCATTCTTCTTTTCATTCTTCTTCTTCTTCTTTTAATTCCTCGTCTTCTTCTTTTCATTCTTCTTTTCATTCTTCTTCTTCTTCTTGTCATTCTTCTTCTTCTTCTTTTCATTCTTCTTCTTCTTCTTCTTCTTCGTCGTGCCCCGTGACTGGCCAAATGAGTGAAGTGTGCGGTGATTCTAAGATCGACGGCACTCATCTGCATGTCATACTGACTGTCAGTATTATTTCTCTTCCCCAGCAGACTCCAAGGGCATTTAAATTAAAGGTACAGTGTTCTGCACTAATATAAAGGCTCTCTGAAGCCTAGAAACCCTTTTAATAAGTTAAATTCGCGGCGAATAAATTCGCATCGAATTGAATTTCTCCCGCAAATTCGGCGAATCAGCCGAATCGAATTTTTGAATAATTCGTTCATCTCTACTCGAGACCATGGAATAATCAATTCCTGGCATCATATGGTACATTTCCAGCCAAAATTGAACTTATTTAAAGATTTGTTTTGTTAAGGCATTAATTTACTATATTACATTTTACTTGTGCTATGACTTTTTTAGAGATTTTTATATAAAAAGTACTTTAAAACTGTAAAGGTTTGTAAAAGTGTAAGGTGTATCCACAATTTTGGCCACTAGTGTATGTGATGGCGGACTCCTATGTCCCGCTATTACTGGGATTTAGTTCATATTTTATTTCTCCGGATCATTTCAGGTTTATTGTCTGTTACACCTTTTTGGTCCTCATTTTGGACTTTTATTATTTCACCTTTCCCTTCACTCCCATATTCCTTCAATTGACTGACTCTGTTCTGGTGTATTATCTATTGTCTTCTCCTTTCATGATTTGTTTAGGAATGTCTGCGGCCAGGGGCGGACTGACCATTTGGAAACTCAGGCACTGCCCGAGGGCCCGGGGTCAGTAAGGGGCCCCATGAGATGCCCCTGGTACCTTTTTCATAGGCTTTTTTGAGTTTGGGCAAGGACACAGGGGCCCCATGATCCCCTATTGCCCGGGGGCCCCATGAGTTGTCAGTCCGCCCGTCTGCGGCATTATTGTGATTAGCGCAACATCCATTTCCTGTTTGTTGTCATCTTCGATCCTTCGTTGTCCTCTCAGACTTTCAGGTTTGTCCTTCTGTCGGTCATCTTTCCAACGTTGTTCAGCCAGCTTCGTGCGAGCCAAGGTGGCCATGGACCCCCACATCACTACATGAGCGCTGAGTTGTCCAGGAGTACGCAGCTGGCACGATAAACTCACGTTTAGGGGATGTTCAACGTTTTTTTCAGCAGCCCCTGAACGCACCTTAACCCCCCCGGCGGTATTCCTGAGTGTAGCTCGGGGTAAAGTTTCAGCACCAGAAGCAGTAACCCCCCCGAGCTACACTCAGGAACAGGGGTGGACTGACAATTCATGGGGCCCCCGGGCAAAAAGGGATCATGGGGCCCCTGTGTCCTTGCCCACACTCAAAAAAGCCTATGAAAAAGGTACCAGGGGCATCTCATGGGGCCCCCTACTGACCCTGGGCCCTCAGGCAGTGCCCGAGTGCTTGAATGGTCAGTCCGCCCCTGCTCAGGAATACACTGCAGCGTTGCTCCGGGATCTCTTCTTCACTTACCTTGTCCCGCGCTCCCGCGATGTCCCCCCTGCAGTGTCCCCTGTAATGTCCTCCGGCCGATGCCGGCATCTGTCTTCCGGGTTCCGTTCCCTGCGACGTCGGGACGTACGGGGGACGGAACTGGCGGGAATTTTAAAATTTTAAAATGTGACATTCATTAAATACACTAAAATCACATAGTATAACATTCCTGTATCAAACCATTTCACATACATTTTGTCCCGAGTGCTTTGTCCGGCGCCCTGCCTGCATTTTTACCGCCCTTTCTGCCTGGAAACTGAGAAACGTCCATGGCGTCCAAAAAGCGTCCCTTTAGGTCAGACGCGGTTTTAGACCGGCTAGAGAACAGCGATAGTAAATCAGAACCACTTGCAGAATTGAGTGATAATGATTGGTGGGGGAAATTCCTCATCAGACACTGAAAACGATTCTGCGACTGAGCTCAGCGATGTGCCAACTTGGCGCTATATTTCACATTTCAGTGTTTTTGGTTTGATTATATTATTGAATTAAATGTATTATTATTATATTATTATTTTTTATGATTATTTATTATATTATAATTTATGATTTCGTGTTTCATATTTTATCCTCCCCGGGATGTTTACTAGACTCTTGTCCGGACAGATTTCAGTGAGTTACTAAAAATTACAGCCGACAATAAAAAAACAACATATTTCCATGCAAGAAAATGTACCGCTTTGAGCACAGAAATACTGACATCATCAGACCGCTAGGGAGGTTACTGTTCTCCTTTGTGTACACATCGTCCTTTACAGGGAGTTGAGTTTTTAGTCGCAGAAAACTTGCGTTCAGCAGTAGATTTTATCAGCGTTCCAAACACCAAACACTTGTAAACGCGGCTATAAGTGTTTGCAATTTTTTTTTTAATATTTCATGTCCAGAGCTTTTTTTTCATCATGAAAAATGCATGCAAAGCATTTTCCCGGTACTCAGATGGACCCGGTACACCGTACTTTGAGGTTTTGCATGAAAGAAAACATGTCAGACGCTGCTGCAATCATTTCTGCACAGAAATGAACCGGAACGCATCCAAACACCACACAAAAAAAAAAAGACAGCTAATCTCCACACATACCGCTCTCTCTATTTCTCTCAAAATTTCTGAAATAGTTAATTTTTTACTGTTTTTCAGTGCATTCTGGGCATTTGGGGGGGTCTCCTGAGGTTATCTTTAGCCCCTCGCCTACAGGGCACTTCTACCCCCCTTCCTGCCCAGGCCAAATTTCCAGCTTTCAGCGCTGTCACACTTTGAATGACAATTGCGCGGTCATGCAACACTGTACCCATATGAATTTTTATCATTTTTCTTTGAGACAGATAAAGCTTTATTTTGGTGGTATTAATTCACCGCTGGGATTTTTATTTTTTGCTAAACAAACCAAAAACAACTGAAAATTTTGAAAAAAAAATGTTTTTTCTTAGTTTTTGTTTTAAAATTTTGTAAATAAGTGATTTTTCTCCTTCACTGATGTGCATTAATGAAGCTGCAGTGATGGGCACTGATAGGTGGCACTGATGGGCACTGATGAGGAGGCACTGGTAGGTGGCACTGATGGGCACTGAAAGGCAGCACTCATATATGGCACTGATAGGCGGCACTGATAGGCGGCACTGACAGGCACTGATAGGCAGCACTGACTGGCAGCACTGATAGGTGGCACTGATAGGCGGCACTGATAGGCGGCACTGACAGGCACTGATAGGTGGCACTGATTGGTAGCACTGATAGGTGGCACTGACTGGCATTGATAGGTGACACTGAAAGGCAGCTCAGATGGGCACTGATATGTGGAATTGATGTGCACTGGTAGGCACTGATATGTGGCATTGATGTGGTACTGATAAGCACTGACAGGTGGCACTGATGGGGCTACACTGATCACTGTCCCCTCCGAGGAATGCTGATTACCGACTCTCCTCTGTCAGCGTGACAGCTCGTGAGGATAACCGGCATTTCCCTATTTACCTGCGATCAGCTGTGATTGGACACAGCTGATCACATGACCTGAGCCGACATCTTCAGCACTTTTCGGTGATCGGTGATTGCCCTGTGTCCCTCGGACAATTAATAACAATAATAAAAATATTTATTAATATTTATAATAATAATACATATTTAAAACTTTAAAATATTTGTTATTATTATTCTATGTTATATTATTATATTATACATTTTTATTATTTTTCTAAAGATCAGTTTATTATCATTTATATTTATGATCCTATTTTTTTTTTTTTTTTTTATTTCATCACATAAGTGATCACACCTGTTTTTTTTTTTTTTTATCAACAAAGCCATGTCGATCGGTACATCGGCGTCCCTGGTACATATCGGGCGTTCCTCATAAACTGATTCGTTGACATTTCTGGTTGCTACGGTTTACCGCACTTTGTATTTTATCCTCGGCGTTCGGTCGCCACGACAACGCCGCATCCGCCTCATCATCTCCTAAAGTGCGTGGACGCAATTACGGGACACTTGGGGAATATATGGCTCCGTCTGCAGACAATGATGTGGGATTTGTTCATCTGCGGCGCTCTGTGTCTCCGATTACCAGAGAGTGGAATCAGATTGAACAGCAATTTACTTAGAAACAGAGATGTGAAGATTTCCTTTTATCTCTTCTCAATAAAACTCCTCGCATTTCCCTTCACATGGCTTTTTCTTTTTTATTCCATCTTTTTCTTTCTGATATAAAAGATATTGTTCATCTCACCTTCTGCTGCAACGCTCAGCTCATGCTTCTGTCAGTGATTGAGAAACGGCATTTAAAGGAAAACTCCACTTTTATTGAAATATTCCACCATCCCTGTGCTGAGTTCCCAGTCTGCACACCCGCTGTGCCCATTATAAGGGGTTCCCACCATCCCTGTGCTGAGTTCCCAGGTCTGTACACCATCTGTGCCCGTTATGAGGGGTTCCCACCATCCCTGTTCTGAGTGCTGAGTTCCTGGGTCTGCACACCCGCTGTGCCCATTATAAGGGGTTCCCACCATCCCTGAGCTGAGTTCCCGGGTCTGCACACCCGCTGTGCCCATTATAAGGGGTTCCCACCATCCCTGAGCTGAGTTCCCGGGTCTGCACACCCTCTGTACCCATTATGAGGGGTTCCCACCATCCCTGTGCTGAGTTCCCAGTCTGCACACCCGCTGTTCCCATTATGAGAGATTTCCACCATCCCTGTGCTGAGTTCCTGGGTCTGCACACCTGCTGTTCCCATTATAAGGGGTTCCCACCATCCCTGCACTGATTTCCTGGGTCTGTACACCTGCTGTGCCCATTAAGAAGAGTTCCCACCATCCCTGCTCTGATTTCCTGGGTCTGTACACCCAATTATGAGGGGTTCCCACCATCCCTGAGCTGAGTTCCCTGGTCTGCACACCCGCTGTTCCCATTATGAGAGATTTCCACCATCCCTGTGCTGAGTTCCCGGGTCTGCACACCCGCTGTGCCCATTATAAGGGGTTCCCACCATCCCTGCACTGATTTCCTGGGTCTGTACACCTGCTGTGCCCATTATGAGGGGTTCCCACCATCCCTGTGCTGAGTTCCCGGGTCTGCACACCTGCTGTGCCCATTATGAGAGATTTCCACCATCCCTGTGCTGAGTTCCCAGTCTGCACACCTGCTGTGCCCATTATGAGGGGCTCCCACTCTTCCAATTTTTTTTACATTTTCTTTTTAACCGGTTAAATATATATATATATATATATACACTGTATGTTGAAATGCGCTTTTATTACAAAATACCTGAAACATATTTTTAAAAATACATTTTCAAATATACTGCATGTCTTTAAAAATACAAATCTACATTTTTGGAATGTATTTACAAATAAAAGTAAAAATAGATGTTAAAATGAATATATTTTAGATTATATATATAAAAAAAATATTTTTAAAAATATATTTATTGAAATATATTTTAAAATATATTGAATAAGGACAAAATTGTAGTATTTCAAATATATGTCAATATATTTGGGAAAAATTTTTTAAAATATATTTTTCTTCCATATGGGAAGGTCAGGACAGGGACAGGAGACAAGGGGAGAAGGTCACAGAAGCAGGTACAAGGATCAGGAAAAAGACTCAGGCAGGGCTGGACCTCATGGGCGGGCTTATCTGCCTCCCAGCAAATCCACATCAGGTGCAGCCCAATTACCTGTACAGTCCAGCTGCAGGGAGACACCCGCTGGTGGCCACCAGAACTACACCCTTTGATTCCAGGAACAACAGTGCCACCAGCAGGTGACCCAAGTAATGACACAGGTCCTGACAGGACATTTCATAAAGTTCTAATAGCTGCAAGCAATGGATTTTTCAGCACATGCTGCCAAAATGCAGTGGCGTAATTTGAGCAGGTAACAGACCTGGGGTAGAAAATGTCCCGGGCCCAGCATCAGTGGGAATACAGATGGTCTCAGTGTTGGTGGTCAGTAGGGGGAAGAGTAATGCCCCATCAGTGATATCAGTGGGAGGTATAGTACTTCATCGTTGGTCTTAGTGGAAGAAATAAGCCCCATTGTTGGTGTCAGTGGGAGGAATCGTGTCCCATCATTGGTGTCAGTGGGAGGAATAGTGCCCCATTGTTGGTGTCAGTGGGAGGAATAGTGCCCCATCATTGGTGTCAGTGGGAGGAATAGTGCCCCATCATTGGTGTCAGTGGGAGGAATAGTGTCCCATCATTGGTGTCAGTGGGAGGATTAGTGCCCCATTGTTGGTGTCAGTGAGAGGAATAGTGCCCTATCGTTGGTGTCAGTGGGAGGAATAGTGCCCCATCGTTGGTGTCAGTGGGAGGAATAGTGCCCCATTGTTGGTGTCAGTGGGAGGAATAGTGCCCCATCATTGGTGTCAGTGGGAGGAATAGTGCCCCATCATTGTTGGTGTCAGTGGGAGGAATAGTGCCCCATCATTGGTGTCAGTGGGAGGAATAGTGCCCCATTGTTGGTGTCAGTGGGAGGAATAGTGCCCCATTGTTGGTGTCAGTGGGAGGAATAGTGCCCCATTGTTGGTGTCAGTGGGAGGAATAGTGATCTTATATCATTGGGAGAAATAGTGCCCCGAGGGCCAGATAAAGGCTAGCAAAGGGCCACAGTTTGGAGACGCCTGGCTTAGAGTATAGGGTGGCCAGAGGTCAAGTACAACATACACCATGTATAGTGTGCAGGTGTTAGGGGTATTAACATACAGCACATACATGTAATACAGAGATCATTGGGCAGGACTATGTAATGTACAACATAGTGAATAGCAGCATTTCCCAACATTTTAACCCTTGAAGAACCTTTGATATAATTTTCAGGTCTCGGAGAGCCCCCGCGAAAACCAATTTATTGGGGGCCAGTGGGAAAAATGTCCCTTACATTGGTGGTCAGAGGGAAGCATGCCCCCCCTCATAGTGGTGGTCAGAATGCACCCCTCACAGACAGGCTAAAAAGGATTATTGGTGTCATGCCGTTGACTAGGCCAAGTGATATTGGCCCTAGAGCTATGAATACACACCATTAGATAGGAGGTCAGTCAGTTAGAGGTGCAACAGTGTCTGGCACAGAGAGTGGTAAGGGGGAGAGAAACGTGAAGAGGAGAAAAGGGGGAATCCTAAGTGATAGCCCAGTAAAATAGCCCACTGTAGGCTTAAGAATGGGGCTTTCCTAAACCCTGAAACGTGTAGTCACACCCTAATGACTAACGTCATCCCACTACAGCGCCTGGACATCTGACGCCATCAGGCTGCCACGCCTGGCTATCTGACGTCATCCCACTGCCACGCCTGGACATCTGACATCATCCCGCTGCCACGCCTGGACATCTGGTGTCACCCCCCTGCCACGCCTGGACATCTGGCGTCATCCCGCTGCCATGCCTGGACATCTGGTGTCATCCCGCTGCCACGCCTGGACATCTGACGTCATCCCGCTACCACGCCTGGACATCTGGCGTCATCCCGCAGCCACGTCTGGATATCTGACGTCATCCCGCTGCCACGCCTGGACATCTGACGTCATCCAGCTGCCACACCTGGACATCTGACGTCATCCCGCTGCCACGCCTGGACATTTGACGTCATCCCGCTGCCACGCCTGGAACATCTGACGTTATCCCGCTGCCACGCCTGGACATCTGATGTCATCTCTCTACCACGCCTGGACATCTGACGTCATCCCTCTGCCACGCCTGGACATCTGACGTTATCCCGCTGCCACGCCTGGACATCTGATGTCATCTCTCTACCACGCCTGGACATCTGACGTCATCCCTCTGCCACGCCTGGACATCTGACGTCATCCCGCTGCCACGCCTGGACATCTGATGTTATTTCGCTTCAGGCTTAGCGGTGCATTCCATACTGGTTCTCTCAGCGCTCACACACCCAGCGGCTTCCTGCACCACACTCTGCATTGCCTGGCAATGCTTCCCTGGCGATCTCCACATATGGTACACAGCCGCTTCCAGATGCCACTCGGCCCGCTTCCCTGGCAAACTATGGATATGCCCACGGGACCCCCTGGAGGTGTCACCCCATACATTGCAGGACGATGTGCCTGCTTTCCTACTTATTGCATGCGAGTGCGTACTGGTTTTAATTTTATGATCTAATAAACCTCTACGCTTAGATGGTGGCGTCCTCTCTCCTTTCATTCTCTTTTCGGTCAATCGGCAACAGCCCAGAGAGCCCGTAGCAATCGCTCTATGAACCCTGCTTGAGGATGGCTGGTGTATACCGTGCAGGTGTTAGGAGTATGTAACATACAGCATGTATTAGAGTTCATGGGTCGGGTGGGAACTCAGTGATCACATGACCGCTGAATGCTGAGTTCTCACAGCTGCTATGAGAAGAGAGCGATGACTGTCAGTCACTTCTGTCTGCTCTGTCCCCCCCCCAGCGCTCACTGGAGTGCTGGGCTGTGGAGGGGGAGGGAGCAACTGGCTCAGGCTCTCAGCATCTTGGTACCACTCCAGAATCTGAAGTGGATCCCGACTTTAATGTCAGGATCTTTTTCCCAACCTGGAC